CTCCTATATATCCTAGCTCCTCCCCTACCTCTTCGGAGCAGCCCCTCAGAACGATCTGAGAGGCTGTCATCCCGGATCCAGTCCTCTCGCCAAATAAAACTTAACTCTTAACTTTTAGGCTGCACATTTATTTCAGTCGACACAGACACAACTTACAACAAACCCAGCAAGAAGTGAATATTATCATGCCCATTTTACTGATTCATCAACAGGCTGAGGTTACATTCTAGTCCAAATTCCTATAGTGCAGAAATGGCGATTTAAACCTGAAGCTGGGATGCCCATGCCTGTGCTCCTCCTCTCTCCCATCTATCTGATCACTTGTCTGTGAAATCCGCCTGTCCAATATACAAGTTTGCAGCCGGCCAGCTCTTAAATGCAATGTGTGCCACCATTTGTCAATGCTGGTTAATTACCATAAACTGCTGTCAGAAACCATTACAGGAAAAACAGGTGGACCCAATTCCCTGCCCACAAAGAAAAGGAATTCTGCCTTGTCTTCCCCTATAATGTGCAGAAACCCTTCCCTACACCACTAAATTCAAACGTATGCTTCATCCGTGTTTATGTTTGCACAGGACTTATAAAAGCACAAGGTGCCTGCAATAATTTCATCTCAGTTCCTTTCCAAACACACAGATTAGCCCAAATCAGATCCAGAACAGACAGAACTCATCAAATCCGCAATGAAACACACTGGATCAAGAACAAAATGCGTGTCCTAGTTCAGAAAACTCCGGGTCCCTCTTTCTTCCTGTCATTGTACAATCTCACCAGAAGTCATTAATTTGCTGTCTGCTCAGTTGGCAACCAAACTCAGAGAAGAGTCAACTCAGCAGAGCGCCCTGCTGGGGTGAACCCCCCCCCGCAGAAGCACAGCGGGCTGCCTGCCCTCCCGCACGCTCTGCTGACCCCTAGTGTCCTCGGTGGAGACCAGGTCAACAGAGCTGTTCCCAACAGCTGCAAAGTCCCACACATGAAATAAAATCATTTTATTTTATACGATATGTTACATATATACCCATTTCTGAAAACAGCTTTGCCAGAAGCCCAAATCTTCAACATCAATCTGCAAAGTCAAATCCGGTCCCCAAGGGAAAACAAGACTTAAGACGACGCTAAAGCCTCCAAAGTCCTCTCAAGGACCGTCAAACAAACTGCCTGCAGGTCTGCAGCTGCAGGCGGTTACATGTCTGCTTTTAAAACAACCCCTTCCTGCCCTCGGGCGCTACAATGTCCCTCTACGCCCTCCCATCTCAGGGTAAGAGCAGCCGCTGCAGAACCTTGCAGGGCAGCACTGAGAGGACTGGACAAGGAGGATCAGAGCTAAATGAAGCCTTCTGATGACACCAGTTTGTCACTCTGTCACTTTACAGATGAAGATATATATAGAGAGGTGGAGTGATCTTGCTCAATGTCACACAGCTAATAAGTGGCATAGTCTATAACTCTGCTCCTCCCTCCGGCGTGATGCCCCAGCTGGGACTCCCACAGGGTTCTCTCGTGCCTACCTGACCAGTCTTGACTGTCACTCATGACCCACCACAGGGTCTGCCACAGCCTGACTTTTCAGCATCTTTTCCCTCCAGTTTCTCAGGAAGAAGGCTGCTCTGGCCACTGTTATGACTTCCGGCTCCCCGAACCCTCTGTGCTCAGGCCAGTCATGCCTGTGCATCTGGCCCCCTGCTCAGAGGATTTTCCGTCCCTGCAGGTGGATTTTTCCACTCTCCGCAGGGACACCCCCTCAGGGGATCCCTCCTCTCGCCCTCAGCATGGCAGGCGTCCCAGGCCACATCCCGAGCTGCCCCATTAAGACTGCTTGTGCCCAGTTCTGCTAGTCAGATCAGCAGCTTCAGATCCCGGGGTTATGCCCTGGTCACCCGGCAGACCTACTGCCCATCTCTCAGCCCCTACCCAGCAGGTCACCAGGAAGTCACAGTAGGTGCCCCACCCAATCCAGAATGCTGTTCACTTGCCAGCACCGCTGATGGCTGGTTCCCAAACTTTGATCAGTTTCACACAAAACAGCAGCTTTCACTTTGAAGCCAGGGGTTTTCCCTTCTGCTGTCCATCCTTACCGGAAACATCAAGGGAAACCAAAAGGCCTTTTCTCAACTCTTTTCTGATGACACATTTCAACCCACAATACTCACATGCTCAAGAAACTTGGTTCCACGTGGTTTTGTTTCCCTTACGCTAAGTGGCTCAAAAGACTGTGGGATTCTTTCTCTTTTGAGGGTATTTTTTTACTCAGTTTATCGGCTTTAATCTGTTTTTGTCCCTCTCTTCAGTGTCCCTGGCAGTTGCCACTTCTCACTCCCTACAGCAGCCTCCCTCCCAACTTCTAATCTAGGAAATCAGCTGTGATGAGGGGCCCGGGGGCAGTCACAGAAGATGCAACTAAGGCACAGAGAGGCTACATCATTTGCCCAAGAAGATCAGCTTCAAACCCCAACAGTGTGTGTCAAGGCCCTCTGTTTAACTCTTATGCTAAGCAAGCAAACTTTTGTAGATTATGGTTATAAACAGATGAGATATCAAAAT